AAAATATAGTCACAGAATACAAAGCACTTTCCCTTTTTCCCAAGCACAGGAAATCTGAATATAATTCCAACCAACATGCCCATTACTAACTAGCTTGTGCTAGGTGATATACCTAATTTTCTAATTTGAAACACTACAAAAATGCTTATTATATTCCTTTGCTTCACTTACACCAACGAAGAAGCTACTGATGAACAGTCCCCTCCATTTCTCAAGTATCTCTACATGATGGCACCTATGACAACAACCCAAGGACGGACGGTTACTAAAAGAATTTTGGCTTACTTGGCCATTTATTTCTAATATACATAAAAAATTCTAAAATCTGTATTGGGAACCTCACAAATTACCAAATAAAAAAAATCATCTCACATATAGATAGATGATAGATTAGATAGATGGATGGATTGATGGATGGATGGATTAGAAAGATGATAGACAGACAGACAGACAGATGGATGATAGATGATAGACAGACAGATGGTTGAAAGATGATAGATGACAGATAGATAGATAGATAGATAGATAGATAGATAGATAGATAGATAGATAGATGATAGCTGACAATCTGTAGTCCATTAAATGCCAAGAGTCACCTTGACATATTTTTATACTAAACTGAAAGCTAACCAGAGGTCTAGTTCATTCCAAGGGGTGTAATTTGAATGAACACTAGGCAGACCAAGAAACTTGAGTCCCTCTTCCCAATTCTATCCCAATCAGACTGGTGATGATGAGGTCCCTTTTATTCTCTGTCCCTGTTTCCTTAGCTGTAAAGAAAATGTAGCATTAGCTATTCTGTAGCTCTCCCAGAGCTAATATTCAAGATTCTTCACATTAAAATCTATTATCCACTTCATCTATCAATGGTATTATAGATGACAGTCACTGAGTATGTGTAACGCCTAATCTCAAAATTTAATATACAGTTAAGACAAAACCTCACATAACAATTCAACTCAGACAAAATCTGAGCTAAACTTCATTACTGGTCACATTCTACTTTCTTTCTCACAACTCCAAGGACACAAATATGGTCAGAGCCTTTCTTACGGGAGAGAGAATTCTCATTTGAACATCTTGTGTTTTCTTCTAGTAAATCTTTATACTTTTCCTTCAGAATACAAGCAAAATATACCCATTTAGAAATGTGAAATACCTGCAGTTGGTG